TTTTGTCATGGAAGACATGGACCAATTTCCGTACAAAAAAACAAGTGTCGGGTCAAGAAATACCACCGCGAATTCTCCAGTTTCCCTTTCTAAAAGTCAAGCTTTATGACCACATTAGAGTCATCAGTCTTTACGCAAATTGTGCAGGTAAAGAGAATAGAGATATGCATCATGAAACTGGCCCGAGCTTGGGCCAAAGGATACACCACTTTCCTATTTCATCGATTAACATGGTTAACAGACAAATAACTGTCATTATAGCCCCTTCATTTGACTCGAGCGGATACTCAAACATATTGGATAAAGAGTTACTAGACATGCATAACCGATGACATTTCTGGTCAAAGGGCTTGTATGCAGAATATCAATCTTGATACACTGAATCGCTTTGATCGCATGTAAATGTCAAATGCAATGAGACTTTTTACAACCGGTTCCTGAAAGATGATACAGCGTGAAATACTTTGGGTATCTAAAATGTGTTAAACGAAAACTGGAGCTAATTTGATATATTCCTGTTGGCCGTACAATTGGATTAATTTGGTCCCACGGATGTGAATGTGATAACGCTAATTGTAATTCTTTTCTATATATTTGGTGTCGTTACATATATCGGCATATTAATTGTTGTTTGGCATATATATAGAAATGGTAGAAAACCAGAAACAATTGCGATTTAAGAAGTTTTCTTGGTTCATGGTTATAATCTGGCTTCTGCATGGACAGTGGACGGTGGACGGTTGGGTAGCCTAGTGGCAGAAGCGTTCCCTTGTCACGCCTAGTTCCATTCTCACATGAGAACAATGCTCGAAGCCTATTCCTGTTTCCCCGTTTCGTGATATTGATAGAATATTGCCAAAAGAGGCGTAAAACTATACTCACTCACTCACTCTACTGGGGTCACGGGTGGCCAAGTTAACGTTCTTTAAGGCGCCACAATTCGGTGTGCGTGTCAGGAACCTATGATTGTAGGTTCGAATCCCTGTCCGCCCCGATTAGGTTTGTCAGCACCATATATACTCGTGCTCGTGGGTTTCTCCAAAGTGGTAAATGTCTGAGACATGCATCACTTCGGGCTTTCCTCCCTCATTAAGCCTCCTCCGATTCGTGCTGTAAATGTTATACATAACATCGATATTTTCGTTTATGAAGTAACATTTACTTGCACAACAAAAACTTGTCATTGTGACAAAACGATTGTAATCGTAAATCTAAATCGACGTGCGTGCTTCACAGGGAAACTTTAAGCTGGTTATTAGAACGAGGGGAGGCAGAGAAATACTGGTATTTGGCATACCCAATTGCTAGAAAGAACGATCCACCAAGACTTAAAGTCTGCCTTTACATAAGCAGATTTCCTAAAGCATTTTTGAGAGAAGAAATGTAAAACAAATAGATGGTAGTAATAATCTTATAAAAGGCTTAAGAGTCTTTTTTTTCCAAATCACCGAATGAGGTGTCCAGGGCAGCCTACTAGCTGTGTATGGGCCCCCGGAGCATCCTTATGTATACATAACTCTATACATCAAACTGACTGGATATGTGATAGCATTCAGCTTGAGTAATTCCACCAGCCAAACCTCCTGGCACGGTGACACTGGGAATGGACATTCTAGTTTCAGGCGGGAGAAAGACAAACAATCATTGACTTTATTGATGTGATGAATAATACATAGACGATTATACTGGGCGAGGTTTTTAGGCCAGGCCATATTAAGCAATAAAATCCCGCCCAGTAACCGGTCTAGAATAATTTGACTCCTCTAAATAAGTGGACAACTCGAGCTTTTCACTCTATTGATCAGCTGATAGAGACTGCTGCGAGCGTGTTTGATGTATAGGGTGTTTGGAACCAGTCATTCGAAGCACGCAAAAGACGTGCTCAAACTATTGCCCAACAGAAACAGGGAAACGTCTTAAACCCCCCTTTCATCGACAACGATAAAGACCAGTCTAAAGTCCAATAGATGAGAGGAATACTCACCTTTATCAATTTGTGCGACTGTAATAGAAAGACACCATAGGCCTACTGCGGATATTGCAATTGTTATCGTCTGGCTGTATCGGCTGTTAATGGTCATGAGAGGGTCGAGTAGGTCCTCACATTTCCGATTCCAGTATTTCAAGCCTTGTAATAAGATTTATGTACGTTATTGTAATAAGCTCCCATGTATTTATATACGAATTGAAGGTGTCATGAAGTATTACTGTATATCTATCATTAGCTTGAAGCCCCATTTTAAAAACTGTTCTAGTTACATAGAAATATGCCCTTTGCTAAAACTGATCTCCGAGATCGACCACAGTGTTTAGGTAGCTCTTCTGTTAGGATCGCTATTTCATCAGGTTTACATGCATCAGAGTATCTGTTTCCTGTGCGCTCCTGCTTGTAAATATACGTGTTGTAATTGGCAGATTGGTGATGGTTCAAAGTGTGAATATTTACTTATATTTGGAGAGGGCATCTTGAAATGGACATTTTATATATATTTGAGATAATGATGCGAATGGAGTGTTGAAGCGAGCAAGAAAGAACACGTTTATCACAAGTTGAGAAAAGTTGGGATGAGTGAACGAAGCAACCCAAACATTTACAGACTTCATCAGTGAGCAAACACCTCCTCTTCACGATCATTCCTTCTGCCTTTGGAATAATGACTTATGTCAATGCACGGTTAACAACAAACAACTGTTGAAGACAACACATGTATCACGTGGTATATCGATCCGATAAATACGCAAATGATGCCACATCAGGAGCTACTTTTGATAAGACCCATACATCGATACGAAGATTGCGAACAACTATTGTCTAATGCTCCCAAACTGTTTAGATGGAGGTTTCCCGATGTGTGAGTGTTTGTGTAATTTAAACAACCATGGCTGCAAATCATTGGGCTCTATGAAAAAATAAATGGGCTTTTCATACATGCATTGTATTCATACGCGGTTACTAAAGCTGCTTTAGTAAATGAAAAAGAGCGTTTAAACTTCGTTTACTTTAGAATGGATTTTATGATGAAGACACTATGATCCTTGTATATATCCGTATTGTACATATCATATATCAGGAATATAAAATTGGCGAGCATAATATCCAAGTGGTTTCCATATATATGATTTTTACGATATGAAGACCTACTCGACTAATAATCTCTATCTTTATGCAACCACATGCTATAAATTTGTGCCGTAAAAAAAGAAAATCTGAGATACCCATCAGCAGTTGTGTATTCTGCGAAGTCTTAGTTTTAATTTTAAATTGTTTTAAATTAAATTAAATTATATAAAAAAACATGTAGTAGTATTCATTGTGTGCCGATTAAGCGCCAGTAAAGTTCATTTTGTAATACGAATAATTTACAAATTACAAAATATGTTTGTATGACCATCTGATGCTGGTTAATGAGAGAGAAACGTAGAGGACATTAGAGAGATAGTACTTCGTGGTGAATAAATGGAGATATCGGAGCTAAGTGTTCAGTTTTCTTCTGAAGTCAATTAACGTACGGAAATCAATCTGACATACATGTGTGTATAGGTGATAAAAAATCCTGTTTCACCTATTCTATATTTTACACGTTTTTTGCTGTATGCGTACTGCCTAGTTATTACAAGATGAAAGTGTCTTTTGACCTTGTGACTCTGTGACCTTGACGTTTGATCATAGTGACGGGAATGCTTCCCGATTGATTCTAATTAATTCTGTTATTTGAACATCGTGCCATCTACAAAGGTGTCCCTAATTGATTTTCTTTCAGCCAAACCACTGAATGAACAATATGTGATATGATGTTTGATAAATGAATTTTTCAATGCAATATCCTCACTACATTCAGGCATACATGTATATACAACAGGTAAACATGATTTCAGCTGATCATATTTCAATTGATATTTTTGTAGGTTGTAAGTCACATTGGCCGACCAAAGCACAATTTTATTGGAGAATAACATAACACGTTATGTTGTTTTGTTACGTCAGTTCAAGTAGACGTTGCCCTGCGGCATCAGGTGATATCATGATACAATCTTCGCGTTTGTGATTAGTCTGCGATAATCCTCCCAAGATAGAAATAGCATGTCAGATAAAAGATAAACAGCTTGATACGGTTTAAATTATTGTAAATTGATGATCTCCTCACAAGCCGATACGTTCTGATTATTAATGATAAGATTTACAAGTTTAATGTCCTGGTGTAACAATGCAAGGTAACATTTAGGTATTGATTAGTTTTTGTGACTTTATTGTATGTTTCCATATTGATCATAAATCCCTCTGCCCACGTATATTAAAGTTACAGTACATATCAAGTTATCGGCTGGTATGATTTCTTACATCGATATATTGAGTTAGAAGAGAATCTATTGAACGAGGATTCGCTGGACTACGCACATGCACACCACATACGGTCTTCAGTAACTGGGGGGCGGGGGCGGTCGGGTAGCCTAGTGGTTATAGCGTTTGCACGTCACGCCGAAAACCCGGGTTCGATTCCCGACATGGGTACAATGTGTAAAGCCCATTTCTGGTGTCCCCCGCCGTGATAGTGCTGGAATATTGCTACAAGCGGCGTACAACCATACTCACTCACTCACTCTTCAGTAACTGTGACTACTCCGTGAAGATCCGGGTTAGAATTGGTCTTCAACAACCCAAGTAACAGTGACTATTGACATTGATTGAACTTTGTAAGAATAAAGAGCTTCAGTTTATCAAAGACACGTTTTTTGAAGAATTGAAAGCAAAATTCAAATAATTCTGAACACTACCCGCATGGGAAGAATACCGTCGTCAGTCTTATCTGGTTTAAATTATTATTGATATTCTCAGACGTAGCTGAATTCCAAATGCTAGGAAAGTTTTGTTATATATTACGATAGGTTTGTGTTATATGTATATGTCATCATTTTCCTGGTCTCAATTAATATTTCCCTGTGTAATTCATATATTATGTTAGCTTCAATAGATAACTGACGTTTCATCTCATTGCTTTCAGTTCTCTCCCTTGTTGCCAGTGTGCTGACCTTAACCTTGATCGCCTACGACCGATTCTTTGGAATTGTGTTTGCCATGAAGGCACATATGTCAGAGAGAAAAGCTAAAACCTCCATAATAGTTGTATGGTTGTGTTCGGTGATAGTGGGATCTCCTTTGCTGTTTTTCCGAGTTTTAAAAAAACGTCAGTGGAAGGACCATTTAGAACTCTGGTGTGACGATGAGTGGCCGGTGGAGGAGATTCTGGACCCAACCACGAATACAACAAGGACTGAAATGCCATGGCGAACTGCTTATTATACGGGTGTCTCCGTTGTGCTGTTCTTTATGCCTATGTTGGTTATGTCTGTGGCGTACTCCGTCATCATCTGGACACTCAAAACACAAACTGCCCCAGGGGAGAATGTGCCACGTAACAACTCAGGCCAGAACAGAGCGAGGAAGAAGGTATGACACATATACAGCGAAACCCTGTTAATCCGGAAACCCTGCCTCCAGGGCGATTACTGCTAAAAATCTTATACATAGAACAAACATATGTATGCATAATTAATAACAATGGCATTACTACGTACCCATCTTTAATCGGTACTCGAGGCAATATCTCTGGAAATGGTTTGTCCAGATTAATGGGGGTTCGCTGTATCACTATTTAGCTGGAAATGTGTCTGAGATAATGTGAAATTGCATTTCAGAAAAAATCTTGAACAACGTCATATGTATCAATTTTGGTACCAACATGTTATAACAATGTGCTTGTAAACCATCTTATCTCGAACCCCGAAGGAACCAATGATAAGCGTCGAGACATACGGACCATTTACATAAACGGGAATCACCCAAGAACTACATGTACCTGTACTCGAACGTTAGACTACAAGCAGTAACATTTAGCGCCACTCATATTGGTTGAAAGGCACAGGATCAAAGCGAAACATATACTTGAATTAGCGATAAAGTAGATGAAAAAACCCAACATATTGTTTGAGATGTGAGTACGCATGAAATATATAACTTAATAAGTAACCATGTTTAACTGATATATTTTCAACGACAGTGTTAAGTGTTCTGTGTGTGTTCAAAAAGATGTATCATTGGACTCAAGCAAGCATTCACTGAAGTCGAGCTAAACAGATGTTGGAATTTTATGGTCCCGACAGAATAATTTTCAACATAATGGAATATATGAATCTCTGCTTGTCTCGAACTACTGATACCTCGATACGTTTTCGATGGTCGCGATTTCGAATGAGTGAACAGGGATTTACTTTTTAATTGCATATTTTAGCATTTCATAGTTTAGGCTCTCCCTTGTTAAAACAGGGACAAAAACAGAAGTTGGATTTTTCAAATTAACACAAATTCATCCACAGATCTGACTGTTATGATACTTAAATCTGATAATCCAGTCATGAAAAAGATTCACACCAAAATAAATTTTATAAGCATTTTGTCTGTTCTCAAATATGCATGTCAATATGACCGTCCATGTCATAAAATGAACAACAAAATCTATGGCATAAATACATGTAGTCGGTATGCCTTGGCTTCCTGGACATACATCTCGATTATAGTGTAAGAGCATGTCATCCAGGGCTGGTGATCGACACGACTAAAGTTCTTAATCCATCGTGTCCGCCTATAGATCATCTATATTAAAATCAATACACTATCAAGGATGCTGTTTTGGCTCGCTGAAAATTCATTTCTTGCTTTTAGCAATAACCTCAGTGCAGACTGCTGTATCGTGCAGAATATTTTATTTGCCAGCCTAAGCCGGTTCTCATTACATGGTAAACCAAACGTGTGCTAATTTAATATCTAAGCCGGAGACTAGGAAACCCTAAGCACCACATATTCTTCTTCCAATTCAGCATCTTGCCTCCATGTGATCGATGGTGTATGGTAAGCCGATTTCGAAGTCCCGTTTTGGATAAACAATTCAATATCCTTGTCTCCCCTTTTTGCTTTGTCCAACTAATGAACTCTGTTTATAACTGCACTTGACTGCAAGAAGAGACCTTTCCACAGTTTTACAAAGGCTTTAATTTTACGACCGTAAAGATCAGGACAACCGGTTAGACGTGTGGTGTTCGTCGAGGAACTAATTTTCATTCGAAGTTGACTTCATAAATCAGAAATGGATGGTTCACGTCTGGGGACATTAAACACTAACCACAGAGCTAAGGAAGTAAAAATTATCGAAATAGGTAATAAGATAAATCAACATTTTGGTGACTACTCCATCGTAGTATTTCACGGTGAGGTTTCCGCGAGCTTTGATATATTATCCGACAATACACGATTAGCCCAGTCGGTTTAAATATTAATTATCTTCACAGTTCCTCGAAAACATCGGTTCTACGCATTTTTTTATATTCTATTATGCATATGTTTCGAATGTTCATTTCTGTTTCATTTCTCTTTAGTTTACTTATTGAAAATTAATGACATTTAGATTTGTCTGTTATGACTCTTTCATTCTATGGTTTCTTTAGCAGAATCTATTTATTCAACAGGATTACGATTTATTAGTCAAAATGTTTCTGCGATATATTACTCTTTTCCATGTTGTTTTCCATTCACACCTTTATCGCTGTGAAACTGCTGTTTCCATTTATACATATGCACACATGTAGTAGACGATTGCCGGAAAAGTATTAGACAGTAACTGGTGTGCCGCTGACCAAATCCTTCGAGGTACTAGCTACAATCGGATAGGATAAGGGCCCTTTATAGCCACTGGAATGTCAAATTTTACAGTTGCAGAAATATTAAAAAGTTTAGTATGAAATTACCAGACATTTTCAAATGGCTAACTGCTTTTCTTGCAAATTCGGACTTATGGCATGATCAAATATAATGAGTAAAAGAGTAAGATCTTTTAAATTTCAAGTTCGTTATCCAAGATGGTTTGTTGACCATATACATGGCATCTGTATGTCCTTGGACCAAAGACTTGGTCATCCTCAAATATTTGATTAATGAAAGCGCTTCCAGAAACGTCTAAAATCAGCCTCTTCGACACATTTAGCCTTACCTATTCATTCACCGTTGTTATAAGCCCAAAACATGCACGTGTTGAAATGTTCATCCGTATGCACAGATCAGGTATGTTTTATGATGATTCTAAGCGTCTTGCTAATTCCTTACATTATTCAGGTCCTGTTAGGCCAAAAGGGTCATTTATCATACACTCGACTGGTATGTTGTGCAGCAGATCTTTAAGGTAATAACTAACATGAGTGTAATTGCTTTGCAGGTGATCATGAGCTTCGTTTTGATACTCCATACGTTTGTTAATTATAAGTGGCTGATGTTAACACTAGGTTCCAATGTTGTACAGGTGATCTTCATGTTAACACTCAGTTCCAATGTTGTACAGGTGATCTTCATGTTGATTGTCATCCTTGTGGTGTTCGCTGTGTGCTGGCTGCCCACCCAGGTGTACCTGCTCTACACAGAACATCGCTCAGAGAGGCTCCCGGTACGTTGACTTCACTATTCTCACTATAGCACCTGATATATCAGTCTCCGGGAGAACATTAAGAATCAGATATGTAGAAAAATATGCACATAAATAACGCATTGATTGCCACTGATCGGGGGTTACTGACAAACAGACTTAAAAAAACCCCAGGCTCACAAAACGCGGTCTGGCTGTGTCTTTTCTGAAACCAGCGCAAAAGTGGCGGCGTGATAGCCTTGTGGGGGGACACCCCGGTTTGCCGGCACCTATTGTACTGGGTTAAAAATTACCCAACCAATACTGACAAGTATACAATAGAGGGATTATGAGGATTAAAAAGGGATTTAAAAGAGGGCAACATGACTTTCGTTATTTTATTTCTCATGTACATACAGCATACATTATAAATCATACATGTGTTCATACATACAAAATATATAAACTTAAAGTCAGAAATTAAATTAATTATCTACACTTCACATACATTTTAACTCACAAACCAATAAATCTTGCCACAGAATCAGCATATTCTGTTGGTGACTTGAGCCCTGCCAACAACTCCTGCTTTTCCCTCTCAATACCGCTATCCACATAGCGGTACTTCCTCCTCTTTCCTATCCTTTAGATAAACATCTAAATTGCTGGCACATTTAATCATTTAAACGTTTACTCATCCCGCCGAAGTTCCGGGTTCGTACCCCATATGTTAAGCCCGTTTCAAATGTCTCGTCATGTGATAATGCGAGAATATTGGTAAAGATAGACTGACTCTGCTTGTGCCTTCAATCATTGAAGTCAGTTAATGTGAACGAGCTGTATCCGACATTTCCTATAGCCGACTCTCTGTAAGACTGATACAATCTGTACACATGTACTATGTGGATCTAATTATTACATTCTTTTTATACCAAAATATCATATCGGTAAGACCATACACTGGTGCAATAGCATATATAATACATATACATGTATTAAAGTAAGTTGGTATTATCATTGCTAAGTAATTCTGATGACTATTGACCAAGACAGATTCAAACCCGTGTATCTGTAAAACAACAGTGCATAACGCGACGCGAAACCTCACTCGGTGTCATGACAACAAGTATGTCAGGTTTGAAGGAGAATGAATGTTGTTCAACAATGCACTATTCCAGCAATAAAACGACGGTATAATGTAGGAGTGTCACTATAAATCGAAAGATCGATATATTGTTATTGGTAAGCACTTAAAGTCAATAAATCGATTGTTAAATCAGTTTCTGATCAATAGTATCGATTTCAGTTAGGAATATCGATAGTTTTGATTGTATTTACCATATCAATACAATACATGCGAAGCTGTTCAAATTATGTTTTTCTTTTGATCATGAGTGGTAGTAATTTACACATGGTAATGTGGATTTTTTTTTCTTAAATCATTAGGGTAAAGAAAACACAAATCAGTCATATCTTAAACTTTACTTTTTATTTGTTGTTATTGTTATAACATTCATGAGTACCCGTTTGATAGAATATTGATACTTACCGATTGACATCGTCGATAATATCGAAATTTAACACGAGTTTCATAAAAAGATTATGTTATATAATCTAGCGGTTTTTATCTAGCGGTTCAAGATAATGACGTGTCATTTTAACCTTCTCGATACGGTCTTCATTATGGACAACACAACTTCTTTACAGCACTTAATGTAATGTTGAGAATTCTGAAATGGTTGCAATTTTGTATGTGAACCATACTCCCCTCTCTCTCGGTCAATACACCAATTCTGAATATCAGTATGCTCACACACAAATGTAATAATCTCCATACGTAGCACGGACAAATTATATCTCTTTCTGAAAATTATCATTGATATTTGTACAAAAAGCCATAAAAAGGTAGAAAATTCAGAGCAGAGTGAAATAAAGCGAACGATTTCTTGAAAGGCAAGACAGAGGATTGAAACTCATCACCCATTCATGAATATCAATACAAGTGAAATAAATAGCGACTTTGCGCAGCACTAAGACTCTGTCATAGCTTGATAAGAGCCAATGCACTTCTATGCCTTTGACCACAATTGACGAGCGTAACATCACATTCAACTCTTCATTGATACCGCAGCTTCTAAAGTGGCATTTGGAGATATCACATCTACCAAACGATTTCTGAGCACCGTGTCCTTACATTCAACACACTGACAACGTTGTGTCTGGTTCTGCCATTCCGGAAAGACAAACGATGTCCCCAATGCATCGAAAGATGAACCAGACGAGGTCACCGCGGCCAGTCTTAGTGTTTTCTTTGTATTACCAATAGGGGGTAATTCCTCAAAGCTTAGCGGCTCTACTGTCTGTGAATCTAATTACAACAACCGTATATAATTGTATGCTCATTAGCTCACTTTGAAGTTGCATTTTGTCATAAGTCCACTTTGTTTAACGCACAAGTCATCGAGATTATGAACAAAAAAAAGAAGATCTGATTCTTCTTCCTTTCCGTCTTGGTAGTCCGGCACAAGAGCTTCTATGACATCATAGGTTTGCTTGAACTCGACGAATTGTGCACGGAAAGACCTTCGCTTGTATTGGAAACTAATTTACTTGATAATATTTACTTTCGTAATAATCATTGGATAATAAACACCTACCACGGTGCAGCTCATGTTCCTAGTATTTGGCACGCTTTCTTTGTTAATAATACGTAATCAAACAAGAGAAAAATATTTTAAGTGTTTAATATTGTACTGACAAATTGTGCACGGAAAGACCTTTGCTTGTATTGTAAACTAATTCACACAATAATGTTTACCTTCGTAATGATCATAATATGATAAACAGCTAGTGTACAACGGTGGAGCTCATGTAACGAGCATTATGCACGCATTCATTGCCAAATAATTACATGAGTCAGAGAAAAAAGTTTTATGTATTCAATATTATTGACAGGATGTAGTGGGTTTTTTATTCGAAATGGTCAGATGTGTGTCTTGGACGACGCGTTTTTTGCTAAATAGGAAAGAAAATGCTTTCTTAAACGATAATTGCTTACCTGTTCTGGGTCATGGTTAATGAATTGCAAACATCAATACAGTTAATAAAACAAAAGGTAAGAACACCGACAACAGTAATTTGACAACATTACAAATTTCATAAAAGACCATTAGCGGAACGGTGGTAAGCTTAATAGGTAAAGCGTTCACTCGCAACGCCGAAGGTCCAGGTTCGAAACCCACATGGGTACGTTGTGTGAAGCCTCCGCCACCGCCTTGATATTACTGGAATATTGTTTAAACCATGCTCACTCATTTCTTATCCACATTCGTTTCTCGTTCTTATAAAATGGAATATGCAACAAATTAGACGCCAATTATCGCTTACGAAATAATTATTAATCGTGATTTAAAAAAATAATTATTGTGTACAGATTAAAATAAAAAAAGCAGCAAAGAGGGTTTGGGTGATCCTGGCACAGTCAGGCTGGTTCGGCCCCTCTACACGCACCCAAGACAGCGAATGGGACTTCTCCCGGGAAGCGCTGCTTTGTCAAACCCGCTCATAACTTGTCGGAGAATTTGCAAACTCTCCAACACTGCAACCTTCTGCTTAACCCAGATTGCCAGAAGGGCTGTATTCCTGGTAGCAAACCTGGATACTCTCCCAGCGTCAGTCAACAGATTGGGAGGTACCAAACCTATGGCACCGAGAACAGTGGGGAGTCGAACAACTTGGTACTTGCGATGTAAGCGCGGTCTTTCGAAAGCGATGTTCGCATATTTGCCATGCTTTTTTCTGAATCTTGTCAATGTCATTAGTGTCAAGAGGAACAGAAAATTCAATGACATACATTATTTCATTGGATTTATCAAAAAGGACAAGATTAGGTTTGTTGGCCTTGATAGATCTGAGGCTGTATACGGACCTATTCCAAAGAACTTTGTATTTATCATTTTCCATGACGCCCTCTACATATTTTGGGTCGTAACATGGATGGACATCTGTGTCAAAATTACAAGCATGGCGAAGACGGTAATAAAATGATCGAGCTTAAGATACTGTGTTTGTGCCAAAGCTGGGTATCCACTGACAATGTGTTGGACAGTCTCATTAAATCCATTGCATATTCTACATTTCATTTGTACATTTTAATGCAAAATCACACATTAACGTTTTAGAGCGGGAAGTGACTGGTCCTGAGCAGCAAACAGAAAGCCTTCTGTTGCACTTTTCAGGCCAGCAGACTTTATTCAAGCGAAGGACTCTGCAGAGTTGCTGATCCTCTAAACACACTGCACATAAACTCGATGCAGTGGTCGTTCTGATAGCCACTTATTTCTGTACCGTCCAGCAGTACCGAACCATCAACAAATTCAACATTGACATTGACATTATGTCCTACATCCTTGGTTCGTTTAAGAAACCCATGGAATGCCTTGTTTTCATCATTACTTTTATTATTATTATTATTATTATTATTAGTAGTAGTAGTAGTAGTAGTAGTAGTAGCACATGTACAAGTACTGCAGATACCACTCCTAGTAGTAGGATGATGATTATATACCAAGTTAATGTTTCATTTACTTCTCAGTTTATATGGAAATTTATATGTTAACTTTTCTGTGAGGTAATGAGAGAAGTTCAAGATACTATGCATGTTTTCCCAAACATAGACTGCAAGATTAAGTAGTTATTGAATTATTCAAATCATGGAAACGATTGAGTGCGAGTGCTTCAACAGTTATTTATTAATGTAATTTTCATAGGATATTGATCTGTCTTTAAGTTGATTACGCGGCTTAATGTCTAATCCTTTTTCTTGATAGGTCACAAGTCTCTTTATTAATCATTAAAATAATTGATAATATCAGGTATCAATTAGCGATCTATTACGTTGAATTTACTGGTTGACAGCTAAACTCTAAAAAACTGTGTATGACGTTTCTTGTGGGCCATCTGGACAGCATTCCTCGTGCATAGTCCAAACGGCATAATCTTCTTTGCCTTCCCGAATGAAGAGTTTAAAGGTTAATAGTCCAAAGTGAAATAGAATTTTATTACATAGTCAAAGGCAACGTTGTACAGTTAATACCAGGTGAATTTCCCAGGCGATCAGATGTTTGATAGATGTGACTGAACAAGGGGGAAAAGTGAGCATGATTTCGATTGCAATGTGTAAAACCTGGCTCCAAAGACATTAAAGATACATAAAGTATGTACAAATAATTATCGAGAAACTTATAGATTAATGATTAACAATTTAAAGAAGCTGTACTGACATGCTTTGATCTATATGTTTCTCTGCTGAAATGAAGAGCTTTATATTGTAGAAGGCCTAGGCCTTCGAGAAAGAACATTTGTTTCCGCAGTAAGTTCCGGTTGCATTTTTCAGCAACGTGGAAAAAATATATGTACATGTGTCGAATTAGAACCTTCTTAGAAGTCTGAAAATGTACCGTACGAGATTCATCTTTAAGTTACATTTGGGAACAAAAGCCGTTACATAAATATAAAACGTGAAGGCCAGAGAACAACCAGTCTCGATTATAAATCGAAAGAGATTCCATTGGACGCAAGGCAAAATAGCGACGAAAATTATATGAATGCATCACTGAACATCAGTGATGACACCAGGTGTTCAGGAAAAGGATACACCTGTCGGGTGGCGCCCGCCACTCACACACTTTACATTAAAGATGAAAGTGTTTGTTTGTTGCCGGACACCGCAAAGTAATCTAATCAGGGCCCACTTGCACAAAGCGGACTTAGCGCTAAGACTATTGTAAGCCTATGTTAAAGTATGGGAGTTACGATAATCTTAGCGCTAAGATCGCTTTGTGCAAGTGGGTCCAGGAGTGCCCAATTCATAGAGATCTTCACTCGTGAGACAATGGAATGCTTACACTCATAACACCAGGTGTTCATGAAAAGGAGCAACTCCTGCCTTTCCGTTAATGTAAGTGAAGGTCATGCCGAAGACAACCATATTGTGAGAAAATATTTTCGACGCTGTTTCGCGAGTTATCATTGATTTTTAGTTATCCATTCATATTGTTTCAATCACTATTTTCCCTTTTACGCCTAATGGAATCTGTTTCAGCACATAATCTGATTATTCCGACTGATTATTCTCTGGCGCTGACGTTTTAAATCTTTCAGAACGTGAACTGAAAGGTATTTGCAGAAAGAATTACATTGTGTGATGTATTACAATATATAAACACTTACTATAAGCAAATGACAGGAAATGCTTATCTATAGTCGGCGCCATTTTGAGAAAGTTATTTGAACGGTAACTGTGAGATCTGAGTAATTAAGGATGCTGGAAAGTCCGAACTAACAAATCATGGACTTTTACTATGAGTGTGTGAGTTTTGGGTTTAACGCCGATCTCTTCAAGACTGGAAACGTGTTTGAGGAGCCGTAGTCTAGTGAACCATGATATTCGCTAAGACATTTGGAAACATTTATCATCCAAAACTGACTTCCACAGGAGATACCGCTTGGGTGAGATCAAGCGATATCTCCGAGATCTCGCTGCAGTGATGCTTTGCAGACCATTGCGACGTAATCGCTTACCATTACAAGACAATCAAATGACATCACTAATCTCTCCTTCTGAAGCGGGTAAGCTGTACCTTTTATATTGAGGACACTGTTACTGTTACTATTACTGTTTACAAACTAAATAAAGTTCAACTTGGAAGAATGATTTTGATTGATAAATACATTTTCACCCTCGTTTATTTTTATATTAAATATATCAAAACTAATCTCGGTGTATTACACTTTTATTAGCTCGTTTTGATATCAAAATACACGAGGGTGACATCTTCCACATATCACCTCAGACAAATTATAACCTATACCTAATTAGATGTTATCTTACAGGATGATTTCAATTGTTGAGGATCACAATACTCTAATTTAGATCGAAGTCTCCAGACTTTATACAGCGTAACAGAAGAGTCTAGGAATTCAAATACTGTCGCGGCATTCAACGCTAATAACGTCTCAGTTTTGTACATATTAAACCAGCCATACTGCGGATCTCACTGTCAGATCTTGTTACAGATTGGGAGGTGAATGCTATCTTCATCCAGTTTCAGAAATATCATTCCCATATTTCACAATATCGTTCTCTGTGTATGCGAGTCCATTGTGAATTTAGTTAGGATGCTCCGTTTAATTTTGCAGTTATTATTCCTGACATAAATACCCAAAACAATCAAGTTTTATTATGATTGAAAAGGAGTATTCTAGTAATTGCCGTTTGGCCGCTTTCATTAATTTTTAATTAATAAAAACTACACATAACGCAGTTAATATTCTTAAAATGTTTGGTTATTACTGTTTTGATAAGTTTGCAGGGTTGTCATTCTGGCAAGTAATAACTATCACGCACTTACGCTCATTAGCAACTCTGATAAGTACTAATTGTACATAAACTGCCGAGAAAAAGATATTATACACTTGAAATGATAAGTACTAATTGTACATAAACTGCCGAGAAAAAGATATTATTCACTTGAAAATTGGTTTGACGAAACAATTACAAACGTTGCTAGGCTGAAAAGAGACGAAACACTGCAACACAACTTTGTGACCAGTATCAAATACATCACCATCGAATTAGTTTGATTTGCAACCATAATCAAACATGGGTGTATACTGTCTTTTGCGCTTGAGGTTATAACAAATATCTATGACATATAGAAATATGAATGAAAGAACGAGAAGCGAAATTATATTTTTGCGGTGCCAACATTAAAGTCAGCAATTTTATCTAAAACTTCATGAAAAGTCCAATTTATCAGAAATTTCACAAAATATAATAGCAGAGTAATTCAAACGTATGCCATTTGACTTCAGTTTAGCGCGATAAACATTCGAGGTGGCTCGGAATGCAGAGCCAGTCGACAGACATGGGGATAAAGTTGTTACAATGTAGTCACCTGGTCGATAGTCACCGTTCTTGTCTGGTCCAAACTCAATTATTTACAGGTAGTCGTGATGTCATTGAAGCGTTATTGTCATACAATAATGAGCTGCAAAATATGTGACGATAATTTGGCACTTATGTGTTATTGGACATGGTGTCAATTGCTAGTGCATCAGCTCAGAATACCTCTACCAAATATTTCCCGTATTATGTTCAACTTGAGGTTTGATGTTACATTATTTGACATCACCTAAAGTAAAATGTCTAAACACCAACCATGATTCTTGGATTTGCCATCGTTCTCCATTTATTGCGATACCTGAATCGTATAAAAATATTCCAAAGGAGATATTGGATATATTCTATTCTTACACGTAATATAATATCAATGTTGTCAGACGATGTGCTAGGGTTTTGGGGGAACGAACCTTATACGGAACTCAGTGTCGTCAATATGGAAATTGCCATGTCTTTAGAAGCCACGTCGAGATCACAAAATCTTCTTATCACTAGACAAGGTGTCCTCAAAGATCCACCGGTGGTACCGCATTGCAATCCGATTGTGAGGTTTTTCTCGTATACATTCGTTGACATTCAGTGTGCTAGAATGGCATGTCTTCTACCTAGTAGATAATCTCACTCACCCTGGTTGGCAATCATGTATACTTGAACCTACACTTTTGTTGAACGCTGGTCTCTTAACACGATCTACCGACCCACAGTATCACATTACATGTTAAAACTAAGCGTAGAGTGTTTATTTCAAACATTTGTCATATTGTAAAAATTGAAGATTTCCTGAAAAGAAAGATAATGGTTCTCGTTTTTAAATATATTTTAATTAGAAGCGTCTAATGTTTTTGACAAGTTTCATTTCTTCTTCATTATGGATACATTTGACGTTTTTTTTATATTTATAGTCATCAAAGGCGCCGCAATTCGCTGTGCAGAGTTGCGTCCCTTTGGCACACCAGAAACATATGATCGTGGTTTCGAATCCCGGTTCGCCCCGACTATGTTTCTATGTTTGTCATCACCGTACCCGTGCTCGTGGGTTTCACCAAAGTGATAAATGTCTGAGATCTTCACCACTGCGGGAATACCTCCCACATTAAGCTGATACATCGGGATATAACAAGAACACTCATTTTCGGTTGATTCTGTTTTCAGATGGGAGAATGGTATCCGAAGTTTGAATTTGCAGCCAGGTATCTTGCATATTGCAACAGCGCTCTTAACCCACTAATTTATGCTGGGTTTAATGACAATTTTAAACAAGGTGAGTACTCAAGTGGTAAGCGCCATTCATTAAAATGTGAATTACGTTTTCACAAGTCAAGTGGAAAAGACGCCTGTTTGACTGCTTTGATAAGTGCTCAAAATAAATAATTATGTATCTTATAATTATAGATCATGAAGTTAAGTTGGTTAAAGTGATGCACATAATCAATTACTAAATGCAATTCTGTTGATGAATGATGCAGTCAGATTCAATCATGAATAATATGCTTCGCCGCAAACACATCATTGATGGTAAAATGTGTGTTTGTATGAGAATAGATATCTGCTGGTTCGTATCATGGTCATGCTCGAGTGTTTAGGAAACTATTACGCATTATGTTCCCTTGTTGTGTGTTGTGTGTTGAAAGGAATGAGAGACAAGTAACACAAAGAATGGACGTGATTTTGTACACATTTTGAAGATCGAAAACGGGTCTTTTGCTTGACGAGCACAAGGGGTGATACCACGGTAGTGAGGATTAGCCCCTAAAAAGTCTTTTTCTTCTCTGCCATATTTTTTTCTTTTCTTAAATTTGCTTTGGTAATGAATCTATAATGGGGATAAAATGACTGTATTTAGAAACAAAATGTCGCTCACCCGGGGCTAAAGCCTCCCCAAAGCTTCCCTACCAAGGTTCATTTGGAATAAGAATCAGGCGCACCCAGTAATCGATTTATTGTGGTCTAATGATTATCCCATACATGACTGATCCACACACGAAATGCACCGTAAGCACATTGCTCTCACTTTTAATTATACTCGTATTGTGGGGATAACAATTCCAAATTAAATTATCCTTCCCAACCAAACATAATACGATGGCAGCGACTACCAATGGCGATATTTGTTCAGCAATGACGTCATTTAAGTTTATGTTAGATCCCATACAGTATTATGCAATGGGGCATCCCTTTTTCACAAATGAGTCTTCTACATGTAAGAGTAGAAGCATACTTCCATTAGTTTCCAAGAATAACTCACAATGACCTGGAAACATATTGTAATGGACCATTTCACGTTCATTGGAAGCAACAAAGGAAAAGGAGGAGGTAGAATAAGAGCCTTCTTTGCCGAATGGAAATGTAATATTTTAAAGTGACAGAAAGCATTGAAATTTTGGTTTGAAGTAATTAGACATGTTCAAATGACTGACACCTAGCCTTTTTTCATTTTTTACATGACATGGTCAAATGCACACATATAGCTAAAGTGGGTGAAAAAGGCAGATTTATTTAAATTGCATCGTAACATTTATCGATTATACCGAGTGAACTGCAAAATACATGTTTTGGCCGACACATTAAAACATTTACCATCATAACAAAATCAGAAACTGCGCCATCGTGTCACTGGATTCATTTTCATCAGCATATCTGATAATTTTCTTATGAATTTCTAAACGTTTTGATTAATTTTGCACATCCGGTGGGCCACAAAGAGCTCTTTCCTTTTATTGTGCCATAATACAAACATTTCATATTTCCACATCATTTATCGCATTTAGGTCCACGACTAGTGAACGTGATATGATACGTTCGGTAATACCCATAGCTATCTTCAGTAGAATTGGAAAGGTAATCAAATAGGATGCTGATCTTAGTACCCCAAGCCTGACATATGTGAAATGCTGGTCTTGCAGATTATTGACTTGTTTAGGAGAAATGCGAGGCCGGCTACTGGTATTCCGATGCTATAATATCATAAGCTGTACTCATGATACATTAAGAGGGAAATTTGTTCAACAATAGGTCGTGAGTTCCAAACTTAGACTCGACATTATTATTACTATATTTGGTATCTCAACGCCAAACTCGTTTTAAACGGTAACGAGCTGTATGGCTGTTCTCGCCCATAATGCTCATTCGTTCTATATTGCTTTAATGTGTTATTACAGCAGTACTCTTTATTAGCACTCTGTGCTCCACAATTTTCAACTATAGGTATTAGCTGGAATCTGTACAATAGAACTATTATGCATTCTTTTGTAAGAAATTTGTATGTGTAAACTTAAATGACGTCATTTACTGAACAATTGTCATCAATGGCATAAGTACTAAGTCCCATATAGCAGTCTGTGTCATTGTATTCTGTTTGGTTGGGAAATATATTTCATTAGGTTTCTTCACGCCCGAAATACAACAGTACAAATTTTCGTGTGCGGTTAAGTCATGTATAAGGGATACTCATTAAGCCAAATTAAATTGATAAGATGTGCGTAATTGATTTTATTTCAAGTGAACCTTGATATTGACGCGTTAGGAAGTAAGTCCATGCGTACGGCATTTTGTTGCTCAATACAGTTGCAGATTTATCGCAAAGAATCTTGAAATGAAATGAACTATTTCTTTACTTAACTAACCGTGCAAGCAGAAAGGGTAAACATATCCACACGTAGGTGTCACTGGCACTGTTATTGTCATATGAGTGTAAAGCAAACGGTCGCTTTCATTTGTATTAAACTATGATGTTCAGTACAATCAGACATAGACACGCGACTGAGAGACAAAATTTGAGTTATGTTAAGGTTATGAATCACCATGATGTGGGATGAAATCCCAAAGTGATGGAGGTCCGATACGTTTACGTTTTCACTGAACTATACGAAGCAAATACGAAGTACCAAAACACCGTGCTAGTTGGCCATGATAAAAAAATGAATGCTCAAGTACCTGTTTAGAACAGGATTATGTAAAAATACTTATGATGCACTTAATGGAAGAATTTAATACAACCTGTGACCCTGGCAAATTGTGTAAGTACAGTACATGTATCTTCTATTGTTCCATATCCCTGTGTTTTCGTCTCCCTTGACATGGATACATTCCAAACTGCTATTTTGCACATGTCTATTACTCTCACGCAGGGAAATCCATTACTCTTTATGTCAATGTCGTGTTTACCATGTACCAATTATCTGTGGAGGTAGGGGCCCATGAGATAGCCTTGTGTCTTAAATAGCGTTTTCTCGTCACAGCGAAGACATTCAATGGATTCGACACGTTTGGTTCAATATGTTAAGACCATTCTTGGTGCGCCATGTCTTGATATTGTTGCAATACTTCTAAAACGGCATACAATTTTACACACTCACTCAGCGTGACCATCTATATTCAGAGACGCGAGACTAAATAATAACTGTCGTGTGGAAGATCAACAACCTTAGTTCAAGCTTCTGTAATACAGTGTCCATGTCGAGATCGGTTTCAAGTTTAATTAAGGCAGATAAAAGATGTTATGTCAGGCAATATGGCTACTGCACAAGATGACCTAGTATCAGTCATGGTATCGTAAACTAGCATACAAAGGGTCACTTAATGAGATATTTCTATTCATGGATGCAAGATACATCTTTACCATCCTGTACGCCCCATATATTGTTTTGATAATTTCGGATTAATTAACTTTTTCAGGCGTCCGTGGTTCCATCGAGTAAATCTTACATGACCATTCTAACGTATAATGTAAGTTTAGTAGACTTGATAAGTAATAAAATAAAGCATTAGCGGTTTTATGTAGCTGAACTGGACGATCTTTACTTTTATCCCTGCTGATGAACTATGTGAACGAGTTTCCTTCTCATAAATTTTGCTTGACAAATTTAATCTATACTCATATACATCTGATCTTCCTTATTTTCAGTAGAGGTATGCTCATGCGCGCGGTTCTTAAGTTTTTATAATTGGAACCAATCCCTGAAAATTAAACCCGGTAGAAATTTTCATTTAAAAATCGCTATTGACTCCATGGGTACCCACCATACAGTTTAGTCTCTAACTTGTGAGAGTGGTCTACGCACTTCGTATCTTACAGGGCGAAAAGATAACCTCCCAAATTAACCCGTGTATTGCTGAGGTTTGACAATGTTTTCTTCCACAAATTACTTGAGAGAAAAGTTTCGTGTCCTGGCCTCGATCAAGCTCCTTGTTATTTTCTCTGGTCAGCTGTACTGTGGTCATGAACGACAGGTACCGATGCTACAGGTGGGCAGATCAAATGGTCATTAGCTTTGTAACTTCGTAACTACCATTTCAGTAATCGGTGTAGTTTCCTGAACTATCCTGGCTGCGTATATGTGAAATGTTATGGCCGCAAATATTTAAACACAAACACCTTTACAAAATATAATACTTTAAATAATAATTAAAAAATGCTAATCTCCATTAGAGAACTGGTTGGTATTTGTTGGATTCGGGGTTCATATCATGAGGAACAATAGGCAGAGAGATGTTGAGGCTAAGATCGAGGTAGGGTTCAAGGCATGTTCATCTGGCATCATCGATAACTAAGATGTGTTACATAATAATATGTAATGTAATACTAAAATATATGTATTCTTCTTTCGTTGGAATACTCTTAAAAGAAGCATCTTTGTATATTCAGGCTTATGGAAAATCCTCGGTATGGCCACCCGGAAGCCTTCCTTCCTCTGTGGAGAGGGGAAGTCCTACGGCACCTACAGCAGCACTGGCTTGACGTCGGTCCAGCTTGTAACAGCGCCTGGTGCGGACAGTCCAGTGAAAGGAGGCATGGCTGTGACAGCGGTATAGAGCAGTGATTCGGGGATCATGCCGTGTCTAAAACTGGTGTCCTGCTACACAGTTGAGAGTCAGTACAGTGAAATAGTCAGTACAGTGATCACGTTTTGACAAAAATGATTTAAATCAATCCAAAAAGAATAACGTTACTACCATGATCCGGTACCCTCTACATCAAAGCATGTCTCGACAGTGTTAATTAATAGGTCTATCGCTGGAAACACATTTTCCGTTTTACCACTCGACTGGTCCAAAACGTGTTCATCATCACGAAGTGATGCGAGGCCTTCTGTACGAATCTACCAAAGAAACAGCTGAGTTACATGTACATCTGGATACGATGGATTGGGGTTGGATTGCTAACAAGCTAATGAGCTGTTCCAAATAATTACTTTCACACAGGATACTTACGTAGTGTTTACGATTAGTAAACTCACAGGAAGCATCAAATGTCAGATATAGCAGTTTAAGTAGAGACAAAGACAGTTTCCGCTGCACTATGACGAATCTGAGGGTCATCAGTTTCATTATCCACTGAATTACAGTAAACCCTTGTTAAACTGGACGGCACCATTCCCAGTGAAATCGTCCACTGCGGAATAGTGTTTAATAGTAAATAATAAAAACATGTATTTGAATCGTACAATGTATTCTGCTTTTCGTAGATTTCCTATGATTATGATCATGTTTTTGTCGCTTTTATTTAATCCACGCGGTCCAGAAGAAGTGGGTTTCATTGTAGTCTGTGCATACAGAAGGCTTTGTTTTAACTACGGGGTCCCGACGTTTTGGGTTTCAATGTACACTGTACATACAAAAGGCCTTATTTTAACCAACGAGGTCAAGACGAATTGGATTCATTGTACACTGTACACGCGGAGGGCGTTGTTGTAACTAACGTGGTCCAGACTTGCGAGGTTTCATTGTACACTTGTATACAGTGCATATATGTGTCACATAACTGCGCGTGAAAATCAACTGCATCAATGGAGCCAATCCATCATTCCCTACCTTGATGTGCGAACAGCTGACGTATCGTAATCTCCAGCACCTGGATATCATAATTCAATGTGTAGTCATGAAATATACTTGAACGAGAAGCCGAGGTAATGATCTGTCTGCCCCGCGAAACCTGCAGAATTCAGTGCATAAGTTGATAGGATTCCGAAATATTGTGTTACCACAACATTAATTTATGTATTTGTTCTTTAAAGCGTTCAAGCTGAAACATAAAGTGTTAGGTATGCTTCACATTGATGGGTTAGTGTCTACTATCATACGCGAGCTGGTAGAGTGTAATGTTTTCGGCGAGCACCTTAATGTGGCTTCGTTTGCACAGACTGTCCTTGAACATATTGATATTGTAATCCTTATATGACCGGACGATGGGCCTGTCAATCAGCATTACTCTCAGCAGCACGTTCTACAGGATCGTGTGCTAACAGGAGTTTTCATTTTTTAATTGGGACTGTATGTACAAACGGCGAAAGCCGAAGCCACAGGGTAAATGCCAAGTAGGGTGGTCAGTTTGTACATAGACTACTCGTTGTTCTCCTGTAGTATCATTATCTGCATATTCCGTAGTGTGAGTTGGGCATATGGTAACATGATGAAGGCTTAAATGTTAACAGGGAACGTGTAATGGTTATAGATATTGCACTCATTGTTGGACTAGGTATTAGTTTCGGGCCGCTGCTCAGTTTTAATTTCAACAGTTCGATTTACACTTATAGGTCTAAAGCAATACTTCTCTCCGTAAATGTTGTTTCACGGAAATTGGTAATGAATGTATGTCAGTCATTTCACGGCGTGTCAGCTTTATGTGGAGGAAAGCTCGAAATTATGCAGGTCTAAGTATACCACTTTCGGGAAAACCACGAGCACAGGTATGGTGCTGACAATCCTAGAAACATAATGAGGGCGGATCTCGGATTCGAACTCATGGTCATAGATTTCTCACACGCCTTAGGCCCTTTATGATTTGGATGTAGGAGTAAGTATTTTACTTACTTTTTGCGGTGAGCTGTAGTACAAGTTAAATTAACATGTCGTTTGTGATTATGAAAGACTGCATCTCATAATAATATTTCCATATCAACATGTTTTCAAAATGTTTATTTTGTATATAAAGTACGCTATTTTTCTACTTTAAATGTACTTACATGCGGAAAATGCGCAGCGAAACCACCGATCGCTATCTAAGTATATAAACAACGTTTAAGTTCGTATTCGTCTCTTTTTTCCAAATATGTTCCTATCTATACCATGTTATTGACCCTCGATTGTACAGGAAAATTGAAGTAGTTAATTCTTTTCAACCCCGTGTTCAGTTAGTCTACTTTATATTTGTTTATGTGTTTGGTGTTTAACGCCGCACTCAGCAATATTCCAGCTATATGACGGCGGTCTGTAAATAATCGAATCTGTACCAGACAATCCGGTGGTTGATATCATGAGCACCGATCCACCCAACTGAGATATGATGACGTGCATCAAGCAAGTCAGCGAGCCTGAACACCCGATCCCGTTAGCCGCCTATTACGACAAGCATAGTCGCCTTTTACGGCACGTATGGGTTGCTGAAGACCTATTCTCTACCCGGATCTTCTCGGGTATATTACTTTATAGAGAGTTTTATTCAGTATATGGGGACCATAAGAACAACATGTTTATCTGGAATAACAAAGTTACTCTTTACACACAAAACCTTCATTTATCAAGCAAGGCCGCTTAACAAGAACTTCCTTCTTGATCTTGACCTGTCGACGACGTGAATATCCTCCAAGGCGTTTTCTTTGTTAATCACACACCATCACAGAGGAACTCGACACATCGCCTGACTTCGGTTTTCCTATGTTGGACTAATGTTAAATGTTGGAGACTATCCTTTTGTGTATCCTATTGTATGTCGTGTACATTTCCTTTGGCTGACAAATTGTTTCCCAAAAGGATTCTTCTTTTCTTGTATGCATTTAAAAAAGGCATTGGAATTGGACCGAACTGTGTGATCTTCTATAACTTTTAATGGTACAGCAACATTAGAAATGCTGTGTGTTAAACGCTGATGGAAATATTCCTGGGGGTCCCATACCTGTGTTATTATATTCCTTGTTGTTTGTAGATGTATGTTTATTTTACTGATGAGTCGTTTACATTTGCAGTTGTCTGAAGTGTGAAATAATTGCTTCTGGAGAACATACAAAAATGTCATTAACCAAGGCTCACTGTACAACAGACGTGGTGACATACCATTATACCTCTTAACATATCATTATCCGTCGTGAGTTAAGGTGACAGTGAAGGTCAGGGAACAAATTCTAAAACCTCAAGGACAAAGGACATGTTGGAAAATATTCATCACTGTCTTGTCAATGATTTGCAAAAGACATTCATGTACTTTCTGAGCTGGTAACAGAACATGTGCATGCATTTATGTTTATTTGTTGCTGCACCATACGTGATGACGAGTTTGACGAGTATTCGTTCTTTGTCCGGTCTCATCATGTTTAAAATACCCCAGATCGCACTGTACCCTCTGCTCATAACACTACACGTTACATTGCATTGGTTTTCTGGCTATAACCTTAGATCTATATACATATATGTTCACATGTTTGCTTTTCATGTAAACTGTCATTACCAAGATCCAGTTACATACGATGCCAATCGTCTCCAGGAGAAACTGAAGTAAAGGAATGGTTATATTTCTAATGTTAATGAAACTAACGTTTGTGTATATATAAATTGTGCTAAGTTATTGTTTTGTTTTTATGCAGATTTATTCACATAGCTATGTATGTGTCAGTTTTCATTAGGTGTGATGATATTATTTATGAAGTACGTTGCACTATGTTATTTGAGAGAATGCATTACTGTGACCATTGTTCTTATATTAACATTCACGTATAGAGATAACTTCATGTGCTGTTTGTGATCGCACTTTAATGTATAACTTTGGCTGCATTATATATACGAGAATTATTATAATATGATAAATGATGCAATTATCCGATATCAATTTTCCTTTTTTCGTGTAATGCTTTACATGTATGACAAGTAACATGTACTAAATATCCAAAAGTGAACGTTTTATTAAAGATATATTTTTGAAAAGATGCATGATTGTTATCATGGTGATAATATAGATGTTGCACAAAATGGGGCTTTAACAAATTTCTTTTCATAACATTTATCATCGTGTTGTACAGTTATGGCTATGTTTATCTTCGCAATATAGTCAATTGAATGATAATGCTTCATAGAAGAATCACCTTCAGATCATAATATTGATTGTCGTTACTTTCCTCTTTCCATTTGTTTTGTTCCCATGTGTATAACGCAGAGAGCATTGCAACAACTACAAATATATAGTTTGTGTTTAGTATATCTGGATTTTGATAAAGAGTGGAATAGTAAATAGCAGTCAAACAAACATGATGTAAAATGACATAGAATGACTACATATTTAGCAATGACACGAAGCACATTGACCAGCTGGACTTTCTGGAGCATTTTCGACTTTTCGACATGGACCTCCTAGTTATCACAAGGCTTCGCGATAAAGCAAGTGACCAGCGTACACGTATAGATTTCAATATCGTATATGTCTACCACTCGTCTATGTCATCTCACGAGAACAGTTGTGGAGCTGACAATCAATTACGAAGGGCCATAAATTAGAAATCTTGGCTCAAACTCCTGAATAGCAGTCCCAAAGACATTACGGAAGCAGCTCTGCACAACGAGCTGTTGCGCCACTGAATGAACTAACCTTCTATGCTACGTTAGCTGTAAAAATGGACCCATCTTGTAACTTTGAGATACGTCGTCTGTATTAAAGTACATTGTACCAAATCAGAAACATCTCTTTAGGATAGATGGGTTACTGAAAAAGAACTTGCTGTATGGGAGTGAATTGGGTTTGACGCTGACACGTTTCAGTTAGTTCACGGCGCAGTATTAAGCAGGATGACACAAAATGGATGCAGATCTCAGACGTATAGAGATTGAACTGATGGTGTATAGGTTTGCATTTCGTGTGTACTTTAATGTGATGGTTCTTCATTTGGGGATATAATCTTCACATTGAATATAGACAATGACGTGTAAAGTATGGTTCTGAAGTATTTTCAGAGTAGAAATATTATTGACCCTTACATATGTATATGGGTTGTATCATTTTGGAACTGTGTAAGAAGAGTCAGAAGAGAAGGGCCATAGTCATGGAAACGCTTCATCATGGGGCAGGAGAGGTTTGTTGTGTCCTCAAAATTCCCCTTATTTTGCTATGTTCCAGTCATTCAGTCGTGATCACACCATGAAAAACAATTGCACGCATTGCGAAAATGTTCTCATGGTCCAGATATCTTATCATGTTGCCATGTCATTTGATTGTTGAATATGGAAGTAATGTACCGTTTTCAAAGAAAAGGCTTCCCTGTTTATGACAAGGTGTTGTGTCATTTATTGATGTTTAATACGTTGTTGTCACTGCTCCGTTGTCTGTGGTTGTAATTTCTTTTTTGGCATCGGAATAAAACATTCTCTCTTGTTTACTGTTTTTGTGTCTTTTCACACTTATCAACATTCCGACTTGTATGAGAATAAACCAGAAATATTGGATTCAAATTAGGCATTGTAGCTAATAACAGATCCATTTTTATCGTTTTGGGTGACCTACAGTCCATGACTTTTATCGACATATACACAATTATGACTAGAATAAGATTTTATTGCAATTGATTGGCAATTAAGGTTAGGACACAACAAATTGATTCTTCGGAGGATTCGACGGACAAATTATATAGTCTTTCCAAAAAGTTAGGGATTATTTGGAAATAACTGATAATTTCCAAAATGATAAGAGATATAAGTTTCTAGTTACACTTGTATGATAATAATGAACGAATTGGTGTAGCCGCTAGTGAAGTATGACAAGTTTTTAGATCAGTAGTGCGTGGCATTCTATGGATTTTGTGCTGCTGGAGATGAGCATTGGCGATTTGGGCAAGGTGAACACGGGAGTTGTCGTCCTGGAAGACAGAACGACAACCAACACACAATGCAAACGGGACAACAAAGGGTATCAGTATGTTGTCCCGATAGTTCTGTCCAGTGACCCGTCCTTGACAATATGGAGTATACTTCGGTCTCTCATACTGATGCCACCCAACACTTTAACCGATCCATATCGAAAGCTGTCTTTAAGTCTTAGGTTGACATTGGCATGACTAGAGACGATTATCCCAGTTTCGACGTTGTACACACCATTGACATTTAGCAATATGACAATTTGCAGTGGGCGGCACAACACGTGGTCTTCGAGAATGGAGATGAGCTGCATGTTGACCGTTTCTAATTGTCTGACCCGTAACTCGTACTCCAGAAGCCTGATGAAAGTTTGCAGCAATTTGATATGCCGTTTGAGCTCTATTTCGTAGAGCCTGCCTTGGGATCAATCGATCCTCTACTCTTGTCGTTGACCTTGGACAACCTCAACAGACTGAAACATTGAACGCATTGGCGACTGCACGTTGACGTCTGCTCGTTTCCAGCATGCCCTTAGCCCGTAGACGTTCCGCCTGTTGTGGACGCCGCATCACCAGTTCATACACAAACAATGAATGAAATCGAGTAAATCACAATAAGCAGAATGAATAGGTTTGACAGAAATAATTGTCCACAGACATTAATCGACCTTCCGTGAAAGTGTCAAAATCAGTGTGTGTGGCACTCCTGCTTGAGGCACGTGAAAACTATAGGTGTGTTTTGATAAGATTATATTTTCGTCAGTGTATTGTTTGTTAACGCCCGAAACCGCATTTGTTAAACACATATAATAACAGATCATATACACGCACCATGGCACCTTGACTTACTACTATATCCTCCTGTGGCGGGAATTTGCTGGGATCTGATCAGATTGTGGTGTTTCCAGTAACAATAGTACATTGTAAGTTCCATTTACATGTCCTTACGCTGGACCCATGCCACACGGTGACAGCAGATGATTAATGTCCGCAAGCTGACTCGCAGACGACGCATTTATGATTTTACAAAAAGAGAGAAATAAGCACAAATAAATCGAGTTTCAAGATAACAAACTGTAATTGAGCCTATTAAATTTCTGAACTTTGATTGTATTTAAACGTTTATCTTTTTTGCTTGGAGCTTTAATGTTGGTGCTTATTTTCCATCATATCAACAATGTATTTATTACAAAACAAAAGCATGTCTATGCAGCTCTGTATGATTGGGTCTACTTTCGTCTACAGTCAGGTTAATCAAATACTGATGTAATGTGTAATGTGATAGAAAGTAAAGAATGAACTATTTTGTAATAACATTGAGTAGAGGATAAGATAGCCACAGTTATTAATATCAAGATATTACAAATGCAACTGATCTAAAACAACAAATAGTTATATGGGTTTTAGAAAAGAAACTACGCTATCTCCTGATTG